ACCAAAAATATTTGAGCCCTTCAGCGGACTTAAAATATTTTCGAGATAAAAAGATTAAAAAACTAAACAATATTACTTTGTAATCCAAAGAAAAATGCAAAATTTATTTCTGTTCCAGGCGTTTTCTTTTATGAAAATCAGTCTTTTGATCACATCACGTGACCACTTCGAAGTATCAAACTGCATGCATATATTCTCTTTCACAAAGAATGTTCACAACCTCAAAAGTTAGACCTAAGCATATACAGTATGCTGTTGTTACAGGAATGGTAGTCCTAAGGATGAACGTCCGGGCTCCCATATGATTAGTACAGTTTAGGGTTAGTTAGAATATTGGGGTTAGTACACGTATAAGGGACGAATGTCACCTGTACAAAGTAATGGGGAACGGACTACGGTTCCTAGCGGATTACCATTCCTGTTACATTGTCGTGAAAATAAGAAATGAAATATCAAGTGATTTCTAAAAATGTATATCATACATATTTAGTGTAGCACACCATGGGTACTTCTACTACCTCTGTCCCATATATTCCATTATATATTGTATATATTGGATAGGCCTATAGGCACATTGGGCCAACGCCCTAAAATACCTAATATATATATAAATTTGTTTTCATATGCTGTAGACATTGAACATACCTGTTCCAGAGACGTTATAGTTGGCACTTGGAACCTGTAAAATAAAATAAAGTAAAATAAAATAAAATCTGGAAATTTCGAGGGGTTTATGCATTGTTATTAATGATCACTTGGAGTGAATATCTTTGTGATGAAGGTGTAGAGGTCTTCATTTTGTATGCTAAACATTGACCTAACACTCATCGTGGGACCGTAAGTTATAAGATTTCCTACTATATGCGTTTAGTTCTAACCCTAAGTGTGGAAGCAATTTCAAGATTTCTCATTGATTCTATTATGTTTATTAGTGTTGTCAACGCACGTAGCGGCATATTTCCGTATTCAGGCGCTTAAGTCACATAACTAATTTAATTAAATTTCCTGTCTTACGATCTGTGTTTACTCGAAGTGTAGCAGCTATTTGCATTCTCGTTGATCTCAAGGCGTTCATTAGTGAGACAGAAGTCTTTGTCGCAGACTGGGTTCCCATGCCTGGATCGATCCATCTGGTTCGAATCAGCTAGGGGTAAAGATAATTCCTCTCTGACAGCTTTACTAGGCGTGACAGACATTTAAGCCGGTTAAGTTGATAGCAATTTAGTGAGACTCCCCAGGGAGATAGATCGATCCAAATATCTGTGTGAATGGTCCCTTAAAGGCACAAAAATCCAATGACTGTCAAATACAAACTGTACATAAATTATACAGAACTGTGAGTCACATTGTACCAGATATTTACAATACAATTTACTAACTGTGGTTGAAGAACGATTGACGAAAACTCTGTTATAATTGATATTTATGAAATTCAAAGAGAACGACACCTTGATTGCATTGCTTCAGTGTCTTCATACTGACACTGATGGGAAACATCCAGAAGGAAAGTGCTGCATCTACTAGCGATTGAGTAGTTACAGTAACTTGGACTTAACCAAATATCTTCATTATTTTATAAGTAGTCGTATTATGTCATTGCTTAATAGCATACCTATTTATAATAACATTTTAGTCCAGATTCATCTAACCATTAATTGTGGTAAAATTAGTATACGCCTACAAGGAATAAAACATTCTGAATTTAATTCACATTGAATTATTAGGTTGAATTATTCTAATTATTCTATTACAATGCATTGGATTATAATAGGGACCATTCACAGACTGTATCGTACTAACAGTGAATCGATCTATCTCCGAGGGGATTCTCGCTAAATTGCAATAAGCCTAAGCGGCTTTAATGTCTGTCACGTTTACTGAAGCTGTTGTGGGGGGGGGGGTAAGGGGGTAAATAAATATCGTTTAGCAGCTTCTTTAGGCATGTCAGACATTTAAGCCGCTCAAGTTGAAAACAATGTAGCGAAAAACCCCTTGGAGATGGATAGTTCCTGTTAGATCGATCTAGGTATGTGCACCCAGTCTTAAACTCAAATTTAGTTATTGGGAGCACACGAATGTTCATTTCGCACTGGACTATAGTGACCTCTATAATCCCAGACATGCTCATTGATTTTTAAAAGTCTCCGTGTTGTAGTTCGTTGAAATGACACGATTATTGGACAGATCTCCGAATTAAAACGCTCTTAACTTTTTCATATGTTAAGCACCGTCCTTAATTTATAAGAGATGCCAAACAAAAGTATAGATTTTGTCTTGACGCTGCATCTGAGGCAAATTAAAATGTTATAAGGAGAAAATAACAGGATATGAGGACTGGAACGCTGGTGACTAATTAAATACCCACGGTAGCACACGGTCCGTTAATTATTAAATACGTGATTTAAATCACAGTATTTGTTTTAAAATATTTGAAATCGATTTTGCTAATAAAATATAACTTAAATCATAGAAATATATTTGTTTGTTACCCGTCAGTTATTTGTCTGTTGTATTTGAATTTGGGGATTCTTTCTTTTTGGCATATTAATGTTGTTTTCCAATTTGTAATTATTTCTTGCCCTTCATTAATTAGCACTCAATAGTCAGAGTTCGCTAGCTCCAACATGGGAGGGTTTCAGGAGCGAAGAGCGACTGATATAAAATAAAACTTTTTTTTATTTAAAAATAGCATAACGTCGTTTTTTATTTTTTATTTATTTTTATTTTTCTAATTATTTATTTTTTGTTTGTTTGTTACAGTATTTTGCATATGTATAATGCTTGTGAAATGTTTGTTTGTTACAGTATTTTGTATATGTGAAATGCTTCTCCTTCGTGCTATTTATGGACATATACTGTATATAAAAACATTTTGTTTTGAGCTCTTCTGATTAACAACACGAGGATCATTTTTTCCTCAGATATCAGTGTGATAAGATAAGAAAATTGCGAATTCAACTTGCTCGTGTCATCGCTAAAACGGCCAAAAACTAGACAATGTAGTGGTCACTGTGAATATTTATTTTAAATTTTTGAAAATACCTTTCAATTCGAATGCATCTAGTATATTTAATATAAATCATAGTATATAAGTAATATATTTGAACCAGTTTTGTCCGGAATCAAAAAACACGATTGCGGTTCATTATAACCATAACTCATAATAAGCATTAAAAATAAGCTAAACTAAAAAAAAAAAGGTGAATCATTGGAATTCTACAATAGTAACATTTGTATATGAGAGGTATTCATATATATATATATATATATATATATATATATAATATATATATATATATATATATATATATTCTATCCACTGCTTCATGTTTTACATTCGACATTTGAACATATCTTATTCCGCGTCGAAATATTCCAAGAAATATTTACTTACCATAACGAAATAAGACCATCCGCTCCCTGGCTGCAAATCTGTCACACCAGCAGACGACCGCGACAGACGACAGGAAGAACCAGGGACGTCAGGGGACACTGTGACGCTAAAAGAGACGCACGTCTCAGTGTTGATACACGCCATGGCGCACTGAGGTTTGCCGTGTCCCTCTAGCTCAAGTAACGTATCCGACACGTGGTGGCTGTCCGTCCCTATTTTCTTGAATCTAACCATATATCCCACGTGCAAGGCACCAGCTATCGCTAGTTGCCATGACAACCACATGAGCATAAGTCTCCCTTTTGACAGCCTTGCATGGAAAGACAAGGTTCTTGTGGAGGACATTGCTTTGCCAAAGATTTAACCCTCAACTGATGTCGAGTTTGTTTGTGGAAAACATCGGTCCCGTGGTTTGGACAGATATTCGTATTTCTGCCCTGTTATATTCGTCATGGTACTCTTCAATGTCACGCTGCAATCAGCCTCTTAACACGCAGTTTCACGCTTTGTGATTTACGTCAGATAATCTAATTAAGACACAAAAGAAGTCAAATACCCTAAAAGCTCTGCAACTCTGCACATCCCCTTTGTCAATCGTTGCTTTCCTGAGAACCCCATTTAAGGACGAAAAGAAGTAAAGTGCGTCCAGGGCAAAGAAATGAATCCGTTCAGTTATCACACTGCGGGTATTGTTTATATTTGAACAATTGTAAAATACGTTTATTGTCAAATAAATACGCACTTAAGATAGATCGATAGATAATTCGTTTGAAGAGGCAAGCAAAATACGTTGCAAAATTGAAAAAAAAAGAAAAAAATTGGAGTCACTGACCAAATAAAAGACTAGGCCAAACTACGTTGAAGCGTGCGTGGCGCACTTGTGATCATTCACACCCATGGGGAAAATGGGTGTTATTTTTTATGACGTGTTAGATGCAATCTTTTTTTCATTTTTAATTGTTTGAAAAGACTCTAAGAACATTTAAAAATCTGCAAGAAAAATGAGGAGTAAGCAACTTAATAAAAGAACTAGGATAAATTGAAGTGCATTACATGCTTCGTGACGCACTGGTACCCTCCCAAATCAATAGACCAAATGGGTGTTCTTCTACTAGATGTTTATCTCGCATTGATGTATTAAATCTGCAGATGGGCCTATGTTCAACAGTTTTCGCACGGGATACATTCTTTAAGCTTTTAATATTACAAGGACTAAATAACAAGGTAGAATGGTTTATTTATCATACAAAAAGGAGTCTTATTTCTCATAAAAATTGACAGAATCTACTATGACGACATTGGTATTGATTGACGATGCGCAGGCATTGTGCAGAGCGTCAAATTACGTAACGACCGATCTACCTAAAGTGTCAAACTTCCGTAAAAACTAAATGGTTCCTTTACTAGCCAAGCTGATGAACAAATAGACAGTGGTAGTTACGGCTTTGCCAGTAGCTTAAAAGGAAACGCTTTTATAGATCAACACTTGCAACGGCCCTGGCAAAAATATTGGCGAGCAACTGTGTCCTCGTAGCACTGGCGGGATCAGGTTCTATATTGGGTTGGGGAGGAGGAGGTTATTGGCTTATTTTGCTCACCAACGATAAAGAGGCAGAGTAAGAATAATGAACTTTAAGTGTAGTGTGTGAGGAAAAGAGAAAGACCATCGCTTGGTTTCGATTGCAACGAATGACTTATTATGGGAGAAAAACATGGAAGAAGAGATCCTCTGGGATCCACCACCCGCTTTTCTAGCTAAGCCATTGCTCCAAGTACAGCGTAAAGGGTGGTATATCAGCTGAGCTACATGCTTCACTAGATGCGAGACACCAGCTCATAGCGTGCACATGCAAAACGTGTTAGACAAGCGCCTCATGTCTCCTGATTCAAATAAATAAATAAATAAATATAGAGCAAATAAACTTTTATTTTCAAACCAACACTAAAATAATTTTTATCTTAGAATCATATTGTTCTTACGATTATTCAACAGGTGCGCACACTTAGTAGTGATAGTATCTTTAAAATTAGGAGCAAAAAGGTAAGGTAATGTACAGGCCATCTAAACACGCAAATAAGGCCTTAATCTCACATTTCTGATCTCCAACTATGACCAAATACACTGAATAACCTAAAATTTTGATACAAAGCTTTGTCTGTGGACCTGCACAAAACATGCCTTTTTTTTCATGGCTGGAATGGTTATTACGCGTAGAACGCTGGTGAAAGTAAACAGTTTCTAATGAGACTTTAACGTGGCGTGCCAACATCCGTTGCTCACACCCACGTGACAGTCATGTGATTTTTGAGATCATGTGATCATTGTGACGTGATGCTTCTTATGTAGAAAAACATTCTGCCACTTTAGAAACTATTCACTTTTCAACAAGAATAACATTAAATCACATTTCCTAATTTTCCGTGTTTAAAACTAAAACCCATCAATAGTAAACCACTATGCAAAAGTGCATTGCTTGCTTACTGCTACAGTGGCTTAATGTGACAGTTAAAACTATATATACTGCATATAAATGTGTCTAAATTGAAGGAAATTGGTTAATAATAGTATATTATGCTACAATTTGTGACAATTAGTTGCTGAATAATTCAATATAATATAATATCCCTACCTGTGCTAATAGTTTTAACCCATAAGAGTCTCAGACTCCATAGCTATACCAAGACTAAAATTAGTCACACTCTTGTCTACTACAGTGGTGCATACTCCGGGATTCCAAACACAGACATTTTAAATGAAAATCTGGAGTTAAAATATAATAAGATACTCAATCCCATATCTATCTGTACCACATGCTCTTAGCAAATGGAGAAATATTGGCATTTAGACTGCATTTACTATATTCTCTCCTCTGTAACTAATTTTTTGAATAACAGATTCTACTGTCACTGACATGAAGTTATAACAATTATCTTAGCTCTGAAAAATGGTCTCAGCTTTAAAATTAGTAAAACCCAAGCTTTGCTAATAACCTTTAAGTTTCAGGAATGTTAGTGAAAAATTGCCGCAATGACTCATGAAGGTCCAAGCTCTAAAACTGTACATCTTAACCATCACAATTATTACCTATATTTGTCCAATATTCACACTGTGACCAGAATCACAGGTCATTAATTACACTCTGATAGCTTGCTACAAATCTCTGCTCTCAAAAACATACTACTTTGATATGTAATCAGACAAAACGATCTCCACCAAACAAAGGAGTCTTCAGCAAGGAAAATTGTTATGGAATGAGAAATTTTATCTTTCATAACATAATATAATATTGAAACATTTCGCTTCACAGTGCATCACAGTCGAAATCACCACTGATATCTTTTCTAATCTCTATTAAACAGTTAACAATGCTGGACAATCCTAAAAATTGAATCTCTCTCTCTCTCTCTCTCTCTCTCTCTCACACACACACACACACACACACGCACACTCTCTCTCTATGTATACCATTTTACAAGTGCGTATGCATGTGAATGTGTGGACTGTACACGCACATATGACTTGACATAAAGGCATTAAATCCAATGAGTGCTAACAAAATAGATCTGCATGTGTCCATGTGCAGCTCTCTGTACATTACTCTACTCTATAGGGGAAAATATCTTTTCTCGGCCCCTAAATTGGTAAAGATGGGGAAGAAAGTCAATCTATCCAATGTGATCAAACAATTTTACCTACTGCATATGCCCTAGAACACCATCAAATAGTCTTGACCACAACTGAACTGTTCATGACCAGTCAACATGTCATACCTAGACACTTATAACATGTTCAGTTCCTTTAAACAAGATTTACTTCAAAGTTATCATGTTATTTAACACTGCATTTTAATCCCCAGATAAATTGTTGTACTATATCCGTGACCCAGCAAAATATTCTTAAAGTCATTTTGACTCAGCATTTTTTACTCTGTATATATAGGGGAGAAAATACATCTAGACGGCATACAGAGCTATGGCGGGATTTCTTCTTTCGGTAACGCTTTTTGCCTCTGTGCTTTAACAGACAGAATGAGCGTCTTGTCGTTCTGTCAGACAAGACAAAGCAAAAAATCAGATTTAATGAGATCATTTGGGGTCACAAAGCACGCAGGAGAGATAGAGGAGGTGTTTTTAAAAGAAAACATTCTGACGGTCCTTTTCTACGACTTCTATATATTGTCCTTCGAGGGCTCAAAATCTCCCATAAAGATCAGCTACCAACAGCGTGAATCCACCACAGTCATCGAGATGGGGCATACAGATTGGTCAGAGTTTTCGCAGCTCTTTCAGGAAGTAGATGCAGCTCTCGTCAAGAAGAAGATAAACAGTGGTGCCCAACCTCAACCGTCAAGTAAAGCTGTCGCACGTCTCCTGTATACCTATTTCCTGATGAGGATGATAAACTATCTGAAGAGTCAAAATTGCACCAGTTGCCAGACTGCTCATAGAAGCCAGCGAGAATACGAGTGCATCGAACCAGTTTGGTCTATGTCAGTGTATCGGTTTATAGAAGAGGCGTTTCAACAGGTCAATACCAGTGTCATTCTGGAAGCATATGATTTTCACATATCTCTTAGAGACCTTGAAGAAGATTCTTACATTTACTCTATGATCCAGCGTTTATAAGAAAACTGCCGTAAACTTGAAGTAATGTCAACGGAAGGTGTTGAAGGCTACGATCACACCTTGCAAATATGTAATGAGCGTATTTTTGAATAGGCGAACCTGCTATGTATCTATCAAACACATGAGTTATTTGGACCTTATTATACGAACCAACACACTTTATTAGTAATATAATTTAAATATTAAGTCTAACATCTTTAAATCCCGATGTTCCGGAAAATATTAAACAGATAAAGTCATATTATAAAGATTGTACACAGAGTTTAACTATTCAGCAATCTATATACGGATAAAGTCAAATTAGACGGTGTTTCTTTAAAAAAAAATGTAATATTATGCTATTATACTGACAATACACTTTGTTTTACAAATGTTTTCATTTGTTTGATTCAGTCTTTAAATCCTTATGTTAATTATTTCTTTATTTATTAAAAAAAATGTGTGTCTATTGTGTTTGGTGTCTTTTACTTACCACCCGTCGCTATGCAATTGTGTTTTGCATCATCATATGTTAACGCCTCTCACCAACTGCAATTGTAATCGAGGTCCGTAATTTCTCATTGCGTTCTCACCAACTACACTATAATTACGCCTTTCTTAACCATTTAGAATTTCGACAGTATTTCGACAGTGTGCATAACACTTCAATTGGTACGATGGTGTAAACATCTGGCCCCATTTGATTATATACCAGTCAGGGACTTCTGCTGGCTTCACCAATATTTCAGCAAATAGACCGAACAAAAAATATGCAGGGACTTTACAAGCGCA